ACCCCTCCCTATAATAGTTCGCATTATTCTATTTTAAACTAATGGTCTTTGAGATGAGATAATTCACAATATGATATCTCATAGATGAGTCATGAGTCTTGTATCAGCTGCATACTTGAATTTGATTTCGGATATGTGTTCACAGAATCAACATATGACATGTTTTTTTGTGATCAAAATTGTGAGACCTGATTTTCTAAAGAAGGTAATCATACCCTTTTAGGTTAGTGCATTCAAACTAGTTAGAATGCAAACTTTAGAAGATTTTGTTCAATCAGTTTGTAGAATGCTAAAGATTCTTTTTGGAGAATGGTTTTGTTAAAATGTTAAGCAGTAACTTGTTAATTAATTTGGTCCATTCATGACTGTAGTTTATTTGAAATTGATGAGTTGTTCAAATTTGACAAAGATGATGATAAGACCAATAGAGCGTTGGTTCTTGCATGTCAGTATTTATATTCGAATACTCATCATTTTAGTTTAAGAATACACTTGATAATCTTTAATTCAATATTCTTTAATAATTGATCGTTGTATTTCTTTGTATTTATGAATTTTATTTTACAATTAGTAAATATCATTATTTTTTTTCAGTAAAATTTTATGTCCAACCAATTGTAAAACAAAATTTCCATTAGCGGAATTTTTGTTTGATTGTATGATTATTCGTAACTACTTGAGAACTGTTCAATAAAATGCATGAAGCCTCAAGACAAATTCTTCATTAAACAAAAAAAATGTTAAATCCAAGTCAAAATCAGCGAGTTTAGAGTAGTTTCTCCTACTAGAGGACCATATTAAGAGCTACTAACGTTATATTAGTTGTCTTTAACGTTATTGTTAAGTTTAAACATTCAACAACCTCAAAAAACAAAATTTAATTATTTAAGAATGAGATTAATTAAGAAGAAATTAGGGCAAAATAAATAAATGGTCTCTGATTATAGGATATTATGTTGAGTTCATTTACTATTAAAAGTTACAAAATGATCCCTTAAATATAGAGTTGTTTTGTTGAATTTCTCGATTTTTAAAAGTTATAAAATGATCATCCAATTATTCATTATGTTCTAAATTTGTCCTTTTTTATTAAAAGATTAACGGCTGTCTGAGTTGGGAGTTAACATGTTGATTGAGATATGATAGACGTTTGAGATTATGAGATAAGATTTTATCATATCTTAGTTAGCAGGTTAACGTTCAATTCAGATCGTCATTAATATTTTAACGAAAAAGTACAAGCTTGAAATATAATGAATAATCGGGTGAACTCAACAAAACAATATCCTATAGTTGAAGGCTTTTATAAAGTAACTCCCTATAGTTAAGGGATCATTTTATAAATTTTAATAGTTAAAAGACTCAATAAAATAATATCCTATAATTAGGGGATCATTTACGTACTCCACCTAAGAAATTATTGTTTGACATAATTTAAGTAGAAACCAGTATTTTAACAAACCTCTCTAAAAACAACCCTTTTAAAGTCCACATTCATTATTTCAATGGCATTGTTAATGTCAACAAACTTTGGTTAATGCTGAATTGTCTTTATTTCAAATCTCCATGATCTTATAAAGTAAAATTGTGATGTCAATGTAAAAGCACTAGGAAATATGAATTCTTTCAACCCTTTTGATTTTATCGGTTTAAATTTGAGTACTTTATAATCAAATATAACCAAATATGAATTGGGAAGGTACCGAGCCTTAAACTGAGTATGTTTGTTTACCGAGCCTTAAACTGAGTAATGGCTCACCAGAGCCAACTGAAGCCTCAAATATCGGGAAGGTACCAGAGTGCTCAACCTTGGACACCTTTTTCTTTTTGCTAACATTATCTGGGATAGCATCAAAAGCCTCCAAAGTGAATTGGGTCGCTTTTACCTCTCTCAAAGATGATGAATTAATGGATGCCGATTTCAAACTTTCAGAAGAAGCAAGGCCCAAATCCGAGCCAGAAGCACCACTACCTCCAGCAGCAGCACCAGAAGAATAGAGAGATCCAGAGTCCATTCCTTCCTCTCCATCGATATCCCACTCTACCGGTATTAGCTTCCTTGGAATTTCAGTCGGTTTCGCATTTAACATCATTAGGTTTTCCCACTCCCATTGCAACGGGGTTTTAGCGTTCCACTCCATCAGAGATATAGAACTCAGAACAATTCGAACAATATCCTTCATATCAAAGCAAAGCATCTCATCACCAAAATCTGAAATATAACCTCGACGCTTGTTCCATTCATAAAGGAATTAAAACGAAAAGAATTTCAAGCATGCTAAATTCAATAACCTTATGTATAAACCAGACTATTCTGGGAAACTATATAGATACATCATACATAGCATTTAAAACAACGGAAAAGCAAATCCCAGGATGCCGAGTTCAAAACCTACCTCTAAATCTCACAGCATCAAAGCCAACCCTCTCTCTCTGTTTCTCAAATCTAGAGTGGTACAAATTAGAAAATTGTTAAATCCACTAAGCAAAACAATCGCAAACAGAGTAGCAGAGAGGTTCAACTAAACAAACAATCATTCCTCAAGACGAGCAAAACTTCTACACAGATATCGATCTCGATTGTTCAGATACGCAGATATCGATCTCGATCGTTCAGAAACAGACTAGACAACTTGAGCAAAGACAAAAAGAAAAAGGTCATATATTAGACATTGGGATACCAATAAGAATAGTAGTACAACTTGTCTTCTCCTACATTATTGCTAACACAAACATGTAGACCCCATAAAGCCGACCGATCTCTCGATTCGATTCTTGTTCGTGTGTGTGGATGGCATCACATCAACACAGAGTAAAAACAGACTACTGGAAGAGTTTACCTTGTCCATCAATAACATCCAAGTAGAGGAAAGAAATATCACGTTTTAACCGAGTGAGCTACTCGAAAACAACTCGAACGCCTTTCAATAATTCACATTCAATTATCTGGGCAATCTTTACAAAGTAGGTCCATGACTGAGACCCACAACAACCTATCAACTACTGGACAAAGCAAAATTCAATGAAACCCTAATCTGCCATAAATTCAACACCTCACAACTACCACAACCACCCTTTTTTATTTGCTTAACCCCACAGTGAAACATTAGAACCAAATACCAAACATGTATTTTTTAGAATGAATTTTTAGAAAGTATTTGGTCTCCTATCACCTATGTATATCATTTATCATATCGAAAAATATACAAGTAAAAAATAGACGAACTTTGTCATAAATATACAAAGAAAAATATGAGGTTAAAACGTGAAGAAGAAAAAATAGACGAACTTTGTCAAAAATAAATAAATAAATGCACATGATGTCATAACGAAAGGATGTAATTACACAAGTCAAACAACAACACACGTGTATTAATTTTATGTTCAATAATTCAATAAATATATATTTAAAATTTTATTTTTAAACACTTAAATATATTATATTTAAACAATGTGTGATTTGAAAACTCTCATAAGCTTCTCAAAACCCACATTGTTTATATTTAAGAGTTCTCAAGTGTTTAAATATTAACTTAAACATGTATTTATTGAGTGAATAAAAATAAAACTAATACCTGCAAGCTTTTATTGTCGCTCGGTCACCACACATTTATATTTTTAGATAAAATTTATATTCTTTTCATAATTTTTGTCACTTCTTTTCTTTTTATTTCATTTTAATTTAATTTTAAAAGTTTGATCAATTTATGTCACATCAATAAAATGTGTTTCTCGTAAAAAACGTCTTTTAAAAAATATTTCTTATAAAAAATATCTTTGTATTAGTGACATAAAATAGTGTTAATCCGAAAATAATAAAAAATGAATATTATGATAGGAAATAATTTTTTAATAGATAGTATTTAGATTAAAAAAAGGCTTTTCTCACTTTATTATTAATTTTTATTTGTAATTTTAAAAATTATCACAATTAATCTCTGTAATATTCCTGTGTCAAAATAATGTGGCATGAACAGAAAATACCACGCGACGTGTTAATAAAATATCACGTGACATTTTATTTAGAAAACTAAAAAAAATAAAAAAGGTCTAAATAAATTAACATCGGATTTTCTTATGCAATTTTATACGTTTGAGTTTTAAACATAAAACGCAAACTTAAAATTCGATATATAAATTATAATTTTAAAAATTATGATTTTTTAAACAAACGAGAATCATATGAAATTTTCATTAATATTTTGGAAATTTTATTAAAAACAAATGTTTTATTACATGATATCATGTCATGTTATTTTTGTCTTAAAGTTTAATTTAAAAATAAATATTTAATATATATATTATATTTTTATGTATGTACTGAAAGTATTTTTATTAAAATAATATTTAAAATATTTATCTTTTTATTTAAATATTTAAAATTATTTTTATTAAAATAGGTACTTAAATTATATTCTTTTTCATTTAAGTATCTACAATATTTTTTAATCAATTTTACATGTCAAGTTATAGATACCCAAGTGAAAATATTTTATAATTTAAATACTTATTTGATAAAATAAATAAATACTTTAAGTATTTAATTTAAATCAAAATACTTCAAATATTTAGATAAATACATGATATACTTTATATATCTATTTTTGAAATAAATCTTATTTTGATTAATATTGTTATTTTAACTCACGGACAATTAGGAGTTAATGAATAATTATTCTGCGTTTGTTTTTAATGCATGACACAGCCTAACAACAAGAAAAATAAAAGGAAGCCCAATTTTTGGATTATAATAATTAATAATAAATATAATAATCACACTTGCATCAAAACATTAACTTAATTCACTTATCCACTTGTTTATATTATTATTAAAATGTTAATCATGATTTTGCCAAACAGAAACAGATGCTAATTAATAATAATGTAGTTTCCTATTATTATTCATGATTAGGAGACGCTAAGCATATTTTTTTTTTAACAATGAGTAAATAGAAAGTTTAGAAATATATTATATGACCGTATTTCTATGTCTTGGATACGAGTGTCGAGACCACTGCTGCATCCTCGACCGAGGAATGTGTAAGGAGGATGGCCTTTAGCTCCGCAGGAGCTACTTGAAAACCCTTATACTTGATTAACTCTTTGATGCGATCCACGATGAAGATATCTCCATCGTCATCTACATACGCAATGTCACCGGTGTGTAGCCATCCGTTCTGGTCAATGGTTCGGTTGGTCTCCTCCTTGTTCTTATAGTAACCTGTAAGGTTAAAAACCAAGCGTAAATTTAAGTGTCAATTGAATTTGTTTTCAAATGATCTTATTGCACCTTGCATTATGCATTGGCTTCTAACACACAGTTCACCCGGGGAATTCTTCGGAAGAGATCGACCGGTATCAGGATCGATGAACTTGAACTCGAGATTAGGAAGGATAAACCCAACTGAGTTTTTCTTTGCAGTGTGATGGCCTTTCATGGGGTTGCCATGGGTGAGTATGTAGTATACTACAAAAGTCAAATCATGAACTTAGGTGACTAAAAGGGGCCATTGGTCTCACCTCTTGGACTTGAACACCGGGAAACTTGTTTTCAAAAGAAGCGAGAAGCTCGGGAGCTAATGGAGCTGCTGCGGTCATTACGGCCCTGAGTTTGAGCTTACTGAGATCAAATTCATCGACTATGGAGTTCTTAACCAGGGCCAGAATTATTGGTGGCACGATGGGGGCGAATGTAACCTCCTGTGTGATCAATGTGTTGAGGAAAGTCCGGAGATTGAACCGATTCATGACCACCACTTTCCCTTTGTTCCCAAGTGTGGCGCAACAAATTCCGACGATACCGTAGACGTGGGAGAACGGAATTAGGCCTAATGTGGTGACTTCACCGATCATTTCGGTTCTGATACTGAAGAGAGACGAGCATAGGTTGGCCACTAAGTTCCTATGGGTTAGCATTACAGTATTACACCCTTTGAAATTCCCGTGGTGCCCGATGAGAATGGAAGGGCACATAGATCACTCTGGAGAACTTCTTCCTTAGTAAACCAAGTGCCTGTACAGGCACTGTCGTAACCGGTTTTCATCCGGGTACGAAATTTTTATTTGGCAGGAAAATTGATGTGAATAAATGGTTTTTGAAAATAATTTGGGAGTCGCCATCTGCCTTTTGGGTCAGGTAGGTCGAATACCTAAAAATTATTTTTTAAAAGAGTTTTAAGAAAACATCAATTAAAAAATGAACTGATATGCGTTTATAACCAAAAATTCGTTCTTTTTAATAATAAAAAGGGATTCGTGGTCGGTTACGTTTAGGGAAGGATTAGCACCCCTACAACGCCCAAAATTGGTACTTTTTAATTATAAATTGTCTCTATTATTAGAAATTTAAAAATTCAAAATATATTTAATTTATAATCCTATTATTTCAAAATTATATAAAAAATATTTAAAAATATCAGAAAAGGACTTCTATGTGCCTTAAGACAGCTCTTTTCTTTGATATTAATAAATATTAATTTGAATAAAATTAAATAATAATTTTTTATAATATTTAATTTTAAAATACCAGAATAGGACATCCAGTTGTATTAAGAATGCCCTTTTCTTCGATATTGAAAAATAAATATTAAAATAATTTATTAAAAAAATAAATTATTATTTATTATATATATATTTATGACTACATAATAATAATAAAAATATTTAAATATATAAACAAGTAAAATTAAAACAATAAAAATACAATTAGAACTATATGAAAATATTTAAAATTGGTGACTAAATTATAGTAAAATTAAAATTAAAAACCTAATTCAATATTAATCAAAATTGTAGGGATTAAACATGCTATTTTCTTATTTATTAATTTAGTGACTAAAATAAAACTTATCTAAAATTCGAATATCAGATTAAAATAAATTAAAAATATAAACTCGGGATTAAAATATTAATTATTAAAATTAAGGGATTAAATCTGTTATTTACCCTATATATATTATTTTAATATAAAGGACTAAAATAAATAAAATTGAAATTAAAGAACCGAATTAAAAGGATTATAAATTGATTTAGTGACTAAAATGTAAAGTTTACAAATTTGAGGGATGGCGGACGGGATTTAACAATTAAAAAATTACACAAATAGCCCTCCCCGAAACGACGTCGTTCGGGAAGGGCTATTTAAAGCCAAATCCGGCTGGCCCGAAGGGCTAGCTTCATTTCTCATTTTTTTCCTCTCTCTCTCTTCTCTGAGAAAGAGAATTTTCTCTCGCTTCTCTCTAAAACAGAGAGAAGCCAGCCGGCCGGCAGCCGTCCACCGGCGTTCTTCCGCCGCCGGCCACCGTCTTCGGTGGCCGGAATAAAATTTTTTTATACTAAAATATAGATCTGACCGTCCTAATGACGGTTCCGATGGTTTTTTTTTAAAACGGCTCCCGATCGGAGCAAATCTAAGAAAAATACCTTCGGTTTCCGAAGGTTTTGGTGACGTTTGAAGAGGTCCGGTGGTCGTAGCTTCCTCAGTAAGCTTCTCTCCTCCCTTTTCTTTTGTTTTTGGTTGCTGGTTGTTGTGAGTTGGTCTCTTTTTTGGTATCTTTGCTTTCAGTTTTTTGTCTCTCTGGCTCCGTTGTCTCTTCTTTTTTTTGTTCGCAGATGGGGTGATGGCTTTATAGCCATCACCGGTGTGGTCATCGAACCGGGTAAAAGAATGGAGTCTGGTGAGTCACCGGACTCCCAGTGGTGACTCACCGTTGGGACGACATGTGTGCGGCTGGAGTGGCGGCGAGGCTGAAGCAGCGCCGCGTGGTCTTCTGGAAGCTACGGCGGCTGCTGGGACGTGTCCCTAGGGTATTGATACCCTAGGGTTTCCTCTGTCAAACTGTGGACCGTTGGATCAAACCAGATCCAACGGCTGAAGCTGAGCGGCGACAGATGGATAGAAAACCCTAATTGGGTTTTAGGGTTTTTGATTTGGGCCAGTTGGGTCCTTTGTAATTGGGCCGGTCCAATCTGGGCCTGTTTGTAATATTAATAAATAATATATAATAATAATAATAATAATATAAATAATATTTAAATTAAAAAAATGAGTATCTTCAGCTGCCCCTCTTTGTTTTTTCTTGTGTTAACAAGAATAGAGCAAAGACGAAAAGATAATAAGTTTTTTCATTTGACTTCACTTGATTAATATGGAAATGTTGAATAAATTCTTCTCTTTCTTCAGATGAGTTCTTCTCATTATGAACTTTCCGCTGGGGATGATGTTGACCTATTTCCTTCTGTGATAGAGTCATTCAAAAGGTTGAATAAGCTCTTCTTATTATGAACTTCTTCTTTCTTCTTCAGATGAATTCTTCTCATTATGAACTTTCTCTGGAAAGGTTGATGCTAATCTATCTGCTTCTGTGATAGAATTATACAAAAGGTTGAACAAGCTCTTTTCATTGTGAACTTCTTCTTCTTCAGATGAGTTCTTCTCATTATGAACTTCTTCTTCTTCAGATGAGTTCTTCTCATTATGAACTTCTTCTTCTTCAGATGAGTTCTTCTCATTATGAACTTTCTCTGGAAAAGCTGATCTATCAAGTGATGGATTTGAACAAAAGGTTGAACAAATTCTTCTCATTATGAATTTCTTCTTTCAGATGAGTTCTTCTCATTATGAACTTCTTCTTCTTCAGATGAGTTCTTCTCATTATGAACTTTCTCTGGAAAAGCTGATCCATCAAGTGATGGTTTTGAACAAAAAGTTGAACAAGTTCTTCTTATTATGAACTTCTTCTTCCTTCTTCAGATGACGAGTTCTTCTCATTATGAACTCTACCTGGCAATGTTTATCCATCAAATGATGAATTCAAACAAAAGGTTGAACAAATTCTTCTCATTATGAACTTCTTCTTCCTTCTTCAGATTTGTTCTTCTCATTATGAACTTTCTCTGGAAAAGCTGATCCATCAAGTGATGGATTTGAGCAAAAGGTTGAACAAATTCTTCTCATTATAAATTTCTTCTTTCTTCTTCAGATGACGAGTTCTTCTCATTATGAACTCTACCTGGCAATGTTGATCCATCAAATGATGAATTCAAACAAAAAGTTGAACAAGTTCTTCTCATTATGAACTTCTTCTTCCTTCTTCAGATGAGTTCTTCTCATTATGAACTTTCTCTGGAAAAACTGATCCATCAAGTGATGGTTTTGAACAAAAAGTTGAACAAATTCTTCTCATTATGAATTTCTTCTTTCAGATGAGTTCTCCTCATTATGAACTCGAACTGGAAATGTTGATCCATTGAATGATGAATTCAAGCAAAAAGTTGAACAAGTTCTTCTCATTATGAACTTCTTCTTCTTTTTTCAGATGAGTTCTTCTCATTATGAACTTGACCTGGTAATGTTGATCCATCAAATGATGAATTCAAACAAAAAGTTGAACAAGTTCTTCTCATTATGAACTTCTTCTTCCTTCTTCAGATGAGTTCTTCTCATTATGAACTTTCTCTGGAAAAGCTGATCCATCAAGTGATGGATTTGAGCAAAAAGTTGAACAAGTTCTTCTCATTATGAACTTTTTCTGGAAAAGCTGATCCATCAAGTGATGGATTTGAATCTTTGCTAAAATCTTTGAAATTCCTGTCAAAATTCAACATGGATAAAATGAATGAAAATGCACCTATTTTTGCAAATATCTAAATATGATGCATGAATGTTGATGCAATCTTCATTTGACTTCAAAATGGTGAACTCGGTTTTCCTCCACTTCATCATTTATTACCAGGGTCACCTCTGGATATCAGTGTAGCAACTTATGCTATCAAGCTTGCATTTCTGAAGAACCATATGATCAATTTGTATCTTTATGTCTTCTTTGCTTCATGAAAGTCTCAGAAGAATTGTTTCATTTGTGGAACTCTTGTCGTAGTCAGAACTATGACCTTGATGCCCCATTTTGTCTTGGATAAAACCAACTTTATTTGCTTGGACTTGTGTATAAATCCCATAAAGCTTTCATCTTTGAAAAGAGAATCTATCATATTTAAAAAGAGAATTTATCATCTTTGAAGAGTGTAGATGTAGATATGCCTGATTCATCAGAGATTAATTAGGAGAGTAGAGTCTGTTCTGATTTGACTCTTGAAACACATCATAAGGAGAATTTATCTCAATTCCTTTCATGTCTCCACATTTAATTCAATCTTGAATATAACAACTTGGTCCATATCATGTCGAGATGCTTAACCACAACCTGTCGTTCAACTAGTTTCTTGTGGTTAAAATTTTAGCTCTCTTTTTGTGGAAAGAAATCTTCATCATATCTCATCTTATAATCTTGAAGTTGAAGAAGACAAACTTCATCTTGGATCAAAAATGGAAACCATATGATCGTAACATTGGTTCAGCATCAGAATAGCAGATTCGTAAAACATTTGACAATACATTCATCTTTTCCTGTGTTATCTGTCGAGATGTAAAACACTTGACAACACATTCATATTTTTCTGTGGCTTCTGCTCAGATGTTCGTAAAACATTTGACAACACATTCATCCTTTCTTGTGGTTTCTTCTTAGACGTTCGTAAAGCGTTTGACAACACATTCATCCTTTTCTGTGGTTTCTGCCAAGATTTCTTAATCATTGAAGCTCTTTGCCTAGTGTTCAAAGCTTTTGAATGATGTCACAAGACCATTTGAGAGCAAAACTCAGTGGAGATTCAAGTGTGATGTTAGTATGACCAAAAAGTTGGTCAAATTCACAATATGCTAGTGTCGAGTTGAATAAAAGATACCAACTGATCTCGATATCATCTCGGGCAAGGGCAAGTGTGATATTGATTACGTTTTCTTCGCTGGGGATGAAACACCCATGATAAAACCAAAATAGATGAAAACTCAATTCACCATGGCTGGCAATGATAACCCCAGTAACATCGGGAAAGAGCAATATA